AGATCATGACCTGAACCTAAACTAAGTCAGATGCTCAATTTACTGAGCCACTCAGGCACCCCTATCATTTACACTTCCTTTTAATATTATGTTTTCAGTCATCACTCCCTTCCTTGATATCCTTGGATTTCCTCTAGATTAAAAATTAGGGAGCAACTGAGATTTTATGCTTACAGAAAAAAACCTTACCAAACAAACAAAACACCTGAATAATCACTAAAATAATGCTGAAGACTCAACTTATTTGTGATTTCATGAATTTTTTTTTAATTTTTATTTATTTATGATAGAGAGAGAGAGAGAGGCAGAGACACAGGCAGAGGGAGAAGCAGGCTCCATGCACCGGGAGCCCGATGTGGGATTTGATCCTGGGTCTCCAGGATCGCGCCCTGGGCCAAAGGCAGGCGCTAAACCACTGCGCCACCCAGGGATCCCTGATTTCATGAATTTTTTAAAAGAGTAATGCTACTCTTTTTTGCAAGGCAGATGATCCCAGTGTTATGCCATTTATCATGCTTTTGGTCTTAATTTGAGCATATTTTTTTATACTTACCAAATCTGAGTGAGCTCCAACTTAAACATATTTTTATCTTGTTTTCTGCTGCTGCCGGTTTCAACTGCTACTGAAAGACACACATGCAAGTGCTTGTTTTTGAAAGTTAAAATCCACATTTTTCTCTCAGAAAAGATTTTAACTTCTGTCCCTTTCTACTTTTTTTTTTTTTTTTGAAGATCCTTTTCATTTATTCTTCTTTCCATCAGCAGTTTTTCCCAGCCACTGAGATTCAGGCAATGTTGTTATGTGTGCCTTTGTGAACACGATGATTGCTGCCTCCTGTGTAGTGGCAGATATTCCTAGAAGCACATCACCTACATCAACTATGGCAATCCTCATAATGACTCCAAAGTGGGTACTATTACACCTACTGTATGCAGATGAGAACCCAAGTCTGGGCAAGGAGTGCCTATTTCCAGGTCACAGAGCTAACAAATGCTGTGTGTGACTATTATCTCAGAGGGCTAACTTCAAATATGGTGTGCTTAAACTTTCATTATACTTACTAATATTGTTTTACTTATCTGTTATTCCCATTTTTTGACAATTTTTGGTAAAGGAAGCTGTGAATAGACTGTTAGTAATGAGAAAAATCCATAGGAATGCATCATGCATTATTCTTTTTTTTTTTAAGATTTATTTATTCATGAGAGACACAGAGAGCAAGAGAGAGAGGCAGAGACATAGGTAGAGGGAGAAGCAGGCTCTGTGCAAGGAGCCCAATGTGGAATTTGATCCAGGATCCCAGGATCACGCCCTGAGCCAAAGGTAGACACTCAACCACTGAGCCACCCAGGTGTCCCTCAAACATTATTCTTGAAGGAGATATTACTAAGTTGATTTAATTTTCTGCACCTAGTGTCTAACTGAAATGCAACTATAATTTCTATAACAAAGCTTTAAACTTTTCACCAAACACACACACACACACACACACACACACACACACACACAAAACACGCAAAAAACTTTTCACCAGTATTGTTGGGTAAATATGAAAGATTTACAAGGAAAAATAGTCACATTATTATCTTGTTAATAATTTTATTTAGCCGACTGGATAATTAAATTTCAATAGTTTTGTGTTATAATTAAAACTTTTGAGAGATGGGCAGCCCCCGTGGTGCAGCGGTTTAGCGCCGCCTGCAGCCTGGGGTGTGATCCTGGAGAACCGGGATAGAGTCCCATGTCAGGCACCCTGCATGGAGCCTGCTTCTCTCTCTGCCTCTCTCTCTCTCTCTCTGAATAAATAAATAAAAAATCTTAAAAAAAAAACTTTTGAGAGATTTAAAACATACTTTCTTAAGAGATTAACAGGACTATTGTCAATCCATACAAATTAATTGAAAGTCTTCACTTATTTGAGTTTCTTTTTCTTAATATGTAGTATTTCTTTGTACAAATGGTTTTTTTAAATATCATCTATTCATTTTGGTATATACTGTGTTTACAGTAAATCTTTATTTACAGTTTGCCATCATTTATAGGCAAGGGGCAATAATATTTCAATAATATTTCAATGATATCAGAAACACATTTTGTTAAGAGGATGATTATTTTTCTTGTCCTCCACATGGTATCATAGGTTATAATGATTCTAGCATAGTCAGGGCTAGCCATTTGGAATCATAATTTGTTCCAAAGGGCTTAAAATATCCTTTAGTTCCAGGTGTAATATTATAGAAACTAGGGTTTGGATGTTACTTCATTCTGCTACTTATTCTACAAAGATGTAAATTGAAATAAAATCAAAATTTCCATTATATTAATTTCATCTCATGTTAATGTTACAGGAATTTTAACAAGAGTGTTGCCTGGACAACTCTATTTTTGGAATGAGGCCACAAATATACTAATGCCACTTAAATTTGTCTGAAGGCAGTCAAATATGTGGTATACCTAGATTTAAGTTACTTCATTCTGAATTTCCAGCTGTAAAATAAGTCATGGGAATATAATGTACATCATGGTGACTAGTTAATAATATTATATTGAACATTTAAAAGTTACAAAGAGAATAGATCTTAGAAGTTCTCATCACAAAAAATTTTTGTAACTATATATAGTGATGCGTGTTAACTAGACTTATTGTACTGTTCATTTTGCAATAATGCAAATATTAAGTTGTATACCTGAATCTAATATAATGTTGTATGTCAATTATAACTGAATTAAAAAGAAGTTACTTTATTCCAATTGGTTGAATTGATTTTGTGTATAGACCTCTATTTCTTATGATACAGGATTTGGGGGAAAAATACAAAACCAAAAATTTACAAAAGAAAGTCCAGAGTTGAAAAGAATATGGAAAGTTATATTACTTTTTATAAAATACTTACATGTCATTACATAAATATTTCTTAAGATCAAAGGGAGTGACGGGTTTAGAAATGGAAAACAAGTCACCCCCTTACAAAGAATATTGTTAAATTTTCACTGAGGCAAATGAAAACAGTTCTCTCATTCATTCCTTGATTCATTCAGCCAAACAGCCCAATTCATAAATGGATCTTGCAGAAAGCAAACTCAAAGGAAATTCATTTTAATGAATTCAAAACCACATGTGTATTAAACTGTTTAATGTAACAATTAAGGTCCAGAATGTTTTGATCATCATACAGCCACAGTTCTTAAATCTTGCATAGAGAAAGAAGCCAAACGTTCAGCAACTTCATGTTTGACTAATTTTGAATTGCACAGAAAATAGTCAATGCAAGTGACTTAGAAGTACATCTTTCACAAAATATAATGTGCCTATTAATAGAGCATAATCATTATAGATACACATGTATACTTGCAGTAGTGAGGAGTTTCTATTCTAATTTTAACCCATTCTTGACATCATTCTAAAAACCAGAGTAGGATATGAAAACTTTCTATTGCAAATGAAATTCACTGATAGTTAAAAGCAAACTGCATCAAACGGATCACCATATTTGTAACAGGAACAGAATAACTTAATCACTTGGGCTACAGATGAGAAATCTCAATCAAAAACTTCTAGAAGTTGAGAAAAAAGTGTCAAACTTTGCATACTTTTGATGGAAATTTAATGAGTGAGGTATTCATTAGTTGGGTTTCTCATTCATCTAAAAAATAGATTAACAAAAAATGAGAATGGAACCCAGTCTCCATGGGTAACACATTTTTCCTTTCCTTGAATAATTCTGGGTAGTTTATGGCTTAAGATGGATAGATTTATACCAGGGCACCAGCCCAACTATATTTGTACACTATGTTCTTTGCCTGCCCTATTTGGGAGGGACCTACTTACATTGTGTGGCTAGAGGAATGATAAGCATGTGAAATGACCTTTTCCCAGTTAACTACAACCCTTCTGAACCTCTCTGAAGTAGACATGGATTAAAGACTTCACTTAAGAGACTGGTATCTAGAAGCTAAAAAAGCAAGATTTAGTTCATAGAGTATATTCAATTAATACACTTTACTGTCTAGCTCTAGGCAAGATTTTGGGAAATTGAAAAGCCAGAATTAAATAAACTTTAATGGAAAAGAGATAAAGAAAATATAGTAAAAAGCTATTCAATCATAAGTTAGTCGTTGAATATTTCTAAAGTCAAGCTATTTTTATTTCCTGTTTTATTAAGTCCTAAAGATTATTTGTAGGGGTGCCTGGGTGGCTCAGTCTGTTAAGCCTCTGCCTTCAGCTCAGGTCATGATCTCAGGGTCCTGGGAAGAGTTGATAATACCACCCCTTAGTGAATCTTGGTCTTTTCTGTTAAGGCCTTCAAGGGAATGAATGAGGCTCAACCATGTTATGGAAAGTAATCTGCTTTACTCAAAGTTTACAGATTTAAATGTGAATCATCTCTAAAAATTACCTACAGGCAACATCTAGAAGTATTCAACCAAATGGTGGGGTACCACAGCTTAACTAAAGTGACATATAAAATTACCCATCATACCCATCAAAAATCTCAAGTACATTAATTTAGATGTTTATTTCCAGGTGAAAAGAGATATATGGAATATACTTTGCTCTCTACACCTCATATTTTCTGCTTTTTAAATTTGGGGAAATCTTAGTTTCATGTCCAACTGGCTTATAGGATGTTATTATTTATGGGTTTAATTAACTATCTATAGAACATTTACTTTAAAAAATTGGCAAGATCTTATTTTCAGTGTCAAATTAGAACTGAAAATATCTAAAATACATAGGTATAGTTATTACTCATCTAACATAAGACTTTCCTTTAACAAAAGATATACTGTAGCTTTTATTTCTGCTACCAATCCCACAATATGAAATGTAACTGAATGTAAAAGTATGCACTTTAACCTGAAACTCTCAACCTACCTTTTTGTCCTATAACAAACTTCACCAAGATTGTCTCTATTCACACACCCTATTCAATTTCCATATCATGGACTAATTCATCTTATTCATATTTGGATTTGTCTTTATCGTTTTACCAAACAGTTCTCAGTAACACTAGAGAGAGACTCGGCGGACACGTTTTAGTTCTCATCTTATGGCTCCCAGAAGCATCCAGCGCCTTTGGCATTGTTCCCTGTCTTGGAGAGATCTACGTGCAGGTGTCAGACAGAGCCAGCCATCCAGGGCTGAAGCTCAACCTCAAGGTAAATATTAGAGATGTGATTGTGTCAGTTAACCTTGAATAGGTAATACAGCCAGAGCTGTATTTGTGATGAAATCATCTAGAAAGTATGGAATGTGAAGAAAGAAGGCTTAGGACAAAGCCGTGAGTAAGTAATAACATTTAATGCCTAAGAAGTCAGGGAAATAAGTAGAAAACCAACAGTGTGACATTTCAGAAAGGAAAAGGTGTTTCAAAAAATGTGGTTGTTCAACACTGTGGAAAACTGATGAAATGCCAAGAAAGATGAAACCTTCAATATTTGCATGGGAAGACATTTGGGAAACTCATAGAGGGAGAAGATAAATTGGAATGAGTTGAGGAAAAACCTACATTTGTCAATTTCTTGTACTGCATAAAAAGTGACTGACTTGCTATTCCTGGCTTTTTTCAATGTGACCCCATACTATATCTCTCCTTCTTTTGTTTATTTTGACTTTCAAAATGTGCTCTGTAATGAAGATGACTATCCTCTTATTTAATTCACTCAATTCACCACTCTATTAATTCATTCAAAACTATCTAGTGAGTTCTAACTTTATGTTAGCATTGACCAAACACTGAAAATTCAGCAGTGAGTAAAATAAGAATGAGGTCTTTGCCACAACTCATTTAACCAAATTGTCACTGTACAGAATGTTTTAGCAGACTTGCTGAGGAAACAAGCAACCATAAAATTTCAATGACTGCAACAATAAAACAACATTTATTTCTTGTTTAACCTACACATAAGCCAAGATCAGTGACAACCCTCCATATATTTCCATTCCAGGACCCAGACAGAAGATGGAAACAAATGGGCTAGCAAAATTTATTAGTACATCTTAAAAATTCTTCTTCAATGTATTATATGCCATGTCCATTCATATTCCATTGGCTGAAGCACATCACATGGTCAGGTTCAGTGTCAACGAAGCAGGGAATAAATATTTTTCCATAATGAGCCCCTTGAACTCCAGGGCAATGGGCAGGAATGAATAATTTCCTTACAAGAAAGGAGGAATGAATAACTGCCTGCAATAAAACAATCTAGCATAAATGGTTGCTCCTATATTTTATCTACAAAGTCATCCTATAAATGTCTAAGAAAAGTTGACTCAGGCTTAAAGTATCAATGACAGTGTTATCTTAGCATTGTGATTCTTAGAAGTGACTTGAGAATGGCCACCACCATCAGAACTTTTTTTTTATTTAGCATAATTACTTTTATCCTTTCTTAGGAACAGTATGACTTAGTTTAAGATTTATTTATTTTAGAGAGGGGAGGAGGGGCAGAGGGAGAAGGAAGGAGACCACCTGAAGTGGATTCCCCACTGAGTGGGGAACCCAACATGGGGCTTGATCCCATTACCCTGAGATCATGACCTGAGCTGAAATCAAGAGTGGACGCTCAACCCACTGAATACTGAGGCACTCCAGAACACTATTAATTATTGGTGTACTTTATATTCTTATTTATACCAGGAAATTCTGTATTAGGAGAAAAGTTATACTTTTTGTACAGCATACAAAATAAATCCATTTGTTAATTCATTAAAAGATTTATTGAGGTTATACAATATGCTACAATCACAACTGGAAACACACAAACACAGCAAATTGTCAAAACCAAAAATACCACATCTTTGGACTCTCTCCCTCCGGACTAACACTGCATCCTACTCTCCTTCCAACAGTTATATTCAATCTGGTGCATGTGGTACAAATCTAATTATATCAGGGCTCTACAACCACAACCTAATCTTGTCCTTTAAATAGTATCTTATGGAAAAATTCAGACTCATTATCACAATATAGAGTACCCTGCAGGCTCTGGGCTTTCCTTCCTCACCTTGCTTATTTCCTAGGACTTAGGCTTTCTCCCAACTTATGGCCACTCTGGCCTCCTTTCAGTTCTGGATTCTGTGCAATTTGATGTCTTCTCATTTTCTACCTACAAGGCACCAATTGTCCATTCATCCTTCCTTGGAAAGGATTTTCCTGGCTCTTCAATAGAAATAGGATTCCTGTTTCATTTGCTTATATCACACTGTATTTTTCCTTAGCCATACCACAATCTGTAACTACATACATTCATGGCATTATTATTATTTTTAAAGATTTTATTTATTTGAGAGAGAAAACATGTACACAAGTGGGGGGAGGGGTAGAGGGACAAGCAGACTTCCTGCTGAACAGGCAACCCAATGTGGGTCTGGATCTCAGGACCCTGAGATCTTGACCTAAGCTGAAGTCAGATGCTTCAACTAAGCTACCCAAGTGCCCCTATTATATATTATATATATATATATATAATATATATATATATGTATATATACACACACACACACATATATATAAATATATATATTTAATTCTTCTTTGCCTTCTAGGCTTGGGTAGTGAAGGATGAGCTTGTATACCAGAGCCAGTGAAAAACTCTTTGTGGTTAGTTAGGGCAAAATAAGTAAAAGCATTTATACATTTCAAAGTGTTGCAGCAATTTCATTTCACCAGGACATCCAGATTTGTCATCAGTGGAATAATTTCTAGCCAGGATATAAAACATGGTGTTTTGAGACCCATATGATATAAGCTTCATGCTATTCAGATGAAGTAGAATCACATTGTAACATGTGACATTTCAGGTTAATTTTCCCACTGTAACCCAAATGGATATAAAATTTTGAGAAAAAGTAAGTTTTTGTATGTATTTTTATAATTTGTTATTCTTAGAATAATTGATACTTTTAATGATACCTGCTTTTCAGATTATAGTTTAACATTATTAGTTATCATAAGGAAATACAATTTGCAGTATTTAATTTGTATTCCTGATTTCAATAGGCAGAAACAAGTCACATTACATTCACCTTGATTAGATAAGATATATTTTTGTGAATGCTATAGTCGGTATCCAGTCAATGTGATGATGGAAGTCATTCTTAAGAGCTGATAACCAGGAGCTCATACTCCTTTTACTTACTAGTATAATTTCTAGTATATTAAGATCAGTTTTTGAACCATAATTGATGATGATGTGCTAAAACCACAGTGTATTATTTGTGGAGATATATTGGATAATGAAGGGATGAAACCATCAAAACTTCACTGGTATTTACATAAAACATATAAGTAAATATGTTTAAAACCAAAAGAGTTCTTCATAAAAAAGACTAATGAGTTAACAAGTTGACAGAAACAGATGTTCAACATTGCATGCATAAATATTGGTGCTATGTGGGCTTCTTGTAAAATAGCTCTTTGGGTTGCTGAGACTAAATAAAATACAATTGCTGACACACTAGTGAAACATGGAGATAAAGATATTTGCCTGAAAAAAATATTTGCTTAGAAGAATCTGCAGTATGAGGTCAATCAAATACTGCTTTTCAATGATACTGTGTATTCAGGATGTGGGTGATGATATAGAAGACCAAGTCATAGAATAATTAAAGCTAAGCAAAGTGTTTTTAGTTGCAAGTAGACTAATGCATTGATACTCCTAACCCAGCCATTCTTTTAGCTATATGTATTTTTAAACATAATGTTAAAAAGTGGAATTATTTTTTTTCATTTTTGACTTAAAATGACTAGATCTGAACTGTATAAAATCTTAAATGGTCAGACAATGTAACTTGGAGATTAAGCTTTATGTAGGAATGTGGACTGATAGCACAACACTTATGGCTGAAAACTTTCTGGAGTACTCAACTATGGAGCTTGTGCCAGAAATGCTCATCAACACACTACTTTGTTGAACAACAAAGGCATTGCTTTGCATAAAATGTCAGCTTAAATCAACAGAGTGCTTAATAGCATACTAACATTTGTAAATTAAGACACTGAATTTGAGATTATTGTGCTTATCCAATGATAATATGGAAGCTGATCATAAACTCACATTAATGCATGAAGAGGCATGACACTATGGGGATGAAAAATTCTGTTGAAAACATTTGAATGACTGAAAAAATTCTTAATATTTCAGTAAGATAAGAAACAAGTTTGATTCCAACTTTTTAAAGATGTTCAATGATAGGATTCCTTGTTGATATGATACTTTGTATATATTTAATGATACTAACACTTCTAAGTATGGTAGGAATGAAATAAGTTTTTTCAATGGCAGATAAAATCAGAAGGTAAAAATCAAACTGAGAGGCTTTGAAAAGATTAGTTTTTACAGATTTTATAAATTTACCTTAGTGATTATCAAGAAACTAGATATTAATGTTACTATTTCATACTTGCAAAAAGTTATCACCACAACATTTATTAGGAGGTTTGATGGTTTCTATGTGTCAGCTTGACTGGCCTAAGGGATGCCCAGACAGCTAGTAAAACATGAATTATGGGTGTGTCTGAGGATGCTTCTGAAGGAGATCAGCATTTAAATCCATGGACTAAATAAAAAGGTAGCCCTCACCATTGTGGGTGGGCATCACTTGATCCATTGAGGGCCTGGACAGAACAAAAGGTAGGGGAGGCTGAACTGACTCTCTCTGGTTGAACTGGAACATCCACCTACCCCTGCCCTTGGACATCAGCATCCTTAGTTCTTGGGCCTTAGGACATGGACCAGGACTTACACATTGGTTCCCCTGTCTCTCAGCCCTGAAGGCTGGCTAGAACACCACCACTAGCTTTTCCGGGCCTCCATCTTGCTGGTGGCAGACTGTGGGACTTTTTGTTCTTTTTCTCTGGAGAACTCTAATATATATCTTGGTACCAAGAGTGATTTTAAAGATTGATTTACTTGTTTCAGAGAGAGAGAGAGAGAGAGAGAGAGAATGGGACAGATAGTACATGAGTGGGGGAGGAGCAGATGGAAAGGGAAAGGGGATGTAGACTCCCTACTGAGTATGAAGCCCAATAATGTGTGGCTCAATCCCATAACCCTGAGATCTCAACCTCAGCAGAAACCAAGAGTTGAATGCTGACTGAGCCACAAAGGTGCCCCATAAGGGAGCAGAATATTAAGGATGAGTTTTCTGAATTGCT